GGGTAGGGGCAGGGGTAGGGCAGAGCCGCAATGACACGTGGGCACCCGCGGGAGGGGGATCCCGGCGGCCGTGACCGCTCCGGGGTGACCCCCCCAGTCTCTGCCTCCACCTGAATGACACTGGGGTTAAACCCGGGAGCCGCTGCTAAGGCAGCCACTAACCCTCGCCCTGCAGAAACGAGAGCCGGGTGGGGGTGGGGCTGTGGCAAACACAGGGGCGGAGGGCAGGAGCTGGCAGGAGTAGGAAAGAGCTGCCACCTCACTCTCCTGCACCCGCTTCAGAGGCTGGAGGTGAAGGTGCAAGAAACCACCCTACGCGGAGGCCTGGCCCAGTGAGGGGCTGCCTAGTGGCTTTGACTTACTGCTTCCTCGAAGGCGGCAGCCAATGTCCTTCTCCCCATTTTACAGGTGGGGAAAATGGAGGCAGCAGCTGCCTAGTACAGACCGATGCAGCCCAGGCTGCAGGAGTCAGAGTCTAGGACTCTGATGCCTATGTAATGCTGCCCTCCCACAGATGGAGCTAGGCCTGCTCCCTAACCTAGCCTCTCACGCCACACAAAATGTTACCCAGGAGAATATATTGGCAGCACTTTTATAGAAGCAGGAAGGTTGCGCCAGCATTCCCGCTAAGCTGCAAAAAAAAAAATATATATAAAAAAAAAAAAAAATCATGCTGTGCACACAGTGGCGTACCGATGAGGCACCCAGTGCCATAGCAAGGGGGCACCAACACTCCCCCCGTTGCTGGCTTCATGTCTGGCCACTCGCCCCCCACCCTAACCCGGCCACAGGCTACTGTAGGAGGGAGGTGGGGCAGGCACACTGAAGGAACAGTGGTGGCGTGAGTGGTTCCCCTGCTTTACATGTGGCAGGTGAAGGGATTAGGTCTGTTTTGTGGCAAGGCTGAAAGTCATGCAGAAGTTAGATGTTGAACTGTACAGGTTTGGATAGGGATGATCCTGCCTCAGGCAGGGGGTTGGGCTAGATCAGGGGCAGGCACCTTATTTCAGGTGGAGGGCTACTTACCCAGTTTTGGCAAGATGTTGAGGGCCCCATTTCCCTCTCCGGCACAGGGAAGCAGGAACAGCCCCACAGTCCCAGGCCAAAAGCCTCTGCTAGACAGGGGCTTCTGGTTGGGGGGGGTAGAGCTGGGTGGGTCTTGCTGCTGCGTCCCGCTGCTGGCTTCCCCTGGGTCCTACTGCCCCTGGACCCTGTCATCTTTGACAAGCAGCCAGGAGCAAATGTATATTAAATTTTCTAGGGGGCCCATGGGCCAGATAGAATGGGCTGGCAAGCTGGATGTTCCTGCACTGTATTTTGCCCACCCCTGGACTCAATGATCTCTGGGAGTCCCAACTTCTCTATAATTCTATGAAGCATAAGGCTTCTGTCTTTCCTGGTACCTACCAGGCTGTTGAGTGTGTTATACGGCTTCTTTTTGAGGCCAGGGAAGTTGCTGGTCCAGTTGCACTGAGTTCTCTCTTCTCTGCTTTTTCAGAGCATTTCTTTTGATCTTTTAAAATTCTTTTCTTTCCTTTTTTTTGTCCAACATGCGCTTGTTCTTGTGTTAGGAGATGGAGAATGGGGATGGTTCTGCTTTGAGCAGGGGGTTGGATTAGGTGACTGCCCGAGGTCCCTTCCAACCCTCATTTTCTATGATTCTAATGGAAACTTCTCCCATTCACCTCAGTGGGAAGATGGATCAGGAGGTGGTCCTGCAGTTGCTACAAAAATTGAGCATAAACACCTAAGCAAGGACTAATTTTATGAATATTCATTTGCAGCATGTCTTTTAATGTGCTCTCTGCTAAAGCATAGAGATGCACAAATAGGGCATGCGAAACATACTTGGATTTGCCCTCTAATATCAAACAATAGCAGTATTTTTATGTATAAGCAAGCTTTATTCACAAATTTCCAGATTTTCTACTTTCATTCTTTCCTCCATGCCCCCTTGTAGCTCTCCAGCCAGAAGTGCCCCATGCCTCCCACATCTTTTTTTATTTACGTTTTGTTCCTTAAATGCACACACTCACCGAAGCTTCCCCAGCACCTCTCAGGCTTCCCTGCCCCTTTGAACACCGTACATGACCCTAGTTTCCCTTGCATCTATGGAGGATTAGTTCAACATTTATTTAGTGCAACAAAATTAACAGAATTGAAAGCAATAGCTAGAGAAAGAGACTTTAAAAATAGAGTGCTCCATCAGTAGAGTCTGAAGAAAAACATTTCATTATCCAGAAAGCTGTAGAAAGAACTACCCTGTGTCAGAGAGGCAGTTTCCCAGGCTCTTTAAAGGATGGTTTAGCCTGGGTGTAAAAAAAAGAGGCAAAGCAAGGAGGAGCAGGCCAGTGGATGCAGCAGCTACTTTTTGTTTTGTTTTGTTTTGTTAGGGGCACATACCCATTTAGAACAATAAAAGTTTGTACCTATTTTTTTGTGCAGAGGGGGAGACATTGTGGGCTTCTGTGAAATAAATCATAGTATATAGCAATGGGGGCCAAACTCCTGGCAGGCATACTACCAGTTAGTCCCTCATCATCCCTGAGCCTCCAATCCCTTTATCATGCCCAATCTGCTGCACTGCTTTTTGCTCCGTTCCTGTGCGGCCTGTTCTCCTTCCCGCCCTGCCGCATAGCACAGAGAGACTGCTTGTGCAGCCATTTTTCACTGTCTACTTTGTAACTTAATTATAGTCTGATTAATTATCCACTAACTGTATTTGTCCACATTGTAACCAGCTGCGCCAGAGCAATGAAAAAGGAAACCACTGTCAAAGTGCGGCTAGTACAAACCTTGAAAATGAAAGGAACTAGTCAGTTTTGGGGCTGCTAATAACACAGTAGTGACAGGGCTGTGCACTTAAGAAGTATTGCTTATATTAAAAGATCAAGTGAATGCATACCCTCTTTTCACTTCAGAGACTATGCACTTAAAACAGACAATGTTGTATGTATAAGCTTTGCTGCAGTGTAGAGAAATCCAGTCAAACTTGGATTTCCCAGGTACCTGAAGCAGTTTATCCACAGTAAGCTAGCTCATGTAGAACTAGCTCACGGAGCTCAGTGCTGCATCACAGTGTAACCGTATTCATTATAACTTTCCATTTTAACAACTAAAGACAAAGCCTGAAATGCAGCCTGCACACAAGATTTTTGGTGTAGCTGCTTGGGCAGCTATATATGCTGTTAACAACAAAGGGATTCAACCTCTTATCTACATGCAAAACCCAACTTTAGTGTCAGTTATGGTGATGTGAGCAGTACTTTTCTAAAACACTTGCTGCGCAGTCTCTAAAATATTTTCACGCTTGACATCTTGTTCTCTTACTGTATTTGTTGAACTATTTAAAGTACCTATATGATGTATTGACTCAATTACCATTTTAAGTAACTTTGTTTGATTTGAAGCAAATATAGAAAGCCTACCTACTCGGCA